TTACAGTAAATGAAAAAATGAACATGCAAAAAACAAAAAGAAAGAATGAATGAAAATAAAATAAAACAAAACAATAAACAGACGATCTACGCTGAAAATAATTTTAAATCCCATTAAAAGGACTTAAAGCTAAGCAAAAGTATTTGCAATTAAGAAAGGTAATGCAGATGTTGTGTGCCATGTGTGCGTGTGTCTTTATGTGTGTATGTGTGTGTGTGTGATTAATTTTATACACTGTTTTATGTCATTTATAAAATACGATACAGTAGAGATTCAGTTTCTTCATACGTTCGAGGCTGAATCCATTTAATTAAAAGGCTCTTACACTCGTGATGATTTTTGTCATATATGTTTATTTCTTTATTTATTTTATTATATAAGATGGCCGAACGCGAGTTAAATTGCCTACTAGCAAATGCAGTTTTAGTGACAGTCGACTTGACGATTATGTCTTTTCCCCTTTTTTCCAAGAGATGAGGGTCATAGGGTATGGATTTGTGAATTTTGAGAATGGCCGTGATTATATATAATTTCCTCACAGAGAGTAGGTCACTAATTCGGTACAAATCATTAGTAGGGAAACGTCGCTTCTTGAAGTACATGACCTTTATAAGGGTTCTTTGTGCTCTTTCTAAATCAAGAAACTGGGTCTTCGCAGCGCCACCCCAAACTGGAATACAGTAAGCGATAATGGGTTGGGCCGGGGCTATGTATATTTGATTAAGGAGATTTTTAGAAGAGCCCTTTTCTTCAGTGACGGCTGGCATAACGTGCCTGAGGGTTTTGAAAATCCAGATAAGTTTCCTAATTCTAATACTAACATGGTTTAGATGTGGGTACCATGATAGTCTTTGGTCCACAATGACACCTAAATATTTTGCTTGTGAAACTTTTTCAATTATCGGACAGTTACAAAAGTTTTGATTCTCTCTCTCGGCTGCGAATTATTGTAAACGCTGAAACAAATATAATTTTTTTGGCAGTATTTAATGAAAGGAGGTTTTGTTGCAACCACATAGCAACCTGCGCCAGACCAACTTCAGCATCCGTCCTGACTGCATCCCACGATTCTCCAGCAAAGATGACGGCGGTGTCATCGGCATACGACAGGATTTTGGCATTTGCTATATTCATACTACAAAGGTCGTTTATGTACATGAGAAATAGGGTGGGTCCCAAAACGCTACCCTGTGGTACGCCACACGTCACCCCAGCATTCTCACTATTGCACCCAGGCAGTTTTACTTTTTGTTTTCTTTCTGTCAGATAACTTTTAAAGAGAGCAAGTGGGGTCCCTCTTATTCCTATATGTTCTAGCTTTTGTACAAGGATAGGGATGGAGACGGTATCAAATGCTTTTCTCAGGTCAAGGAAAACGGCCAAACATTTTTTATTTTGGTCCAGTTGCCGAGTTACAAAAGAACTTAGTTCAGCAATAGCATCTTCTGTCGATTTTCCTTGTCTGAAACCAAACTGCGCAGGTGATAGTACTTCAGTTTTATTGAGGTATTTTAGTAATCTAGTATTTAATAACTTCTCCAAAATTTTAGATATTGCTGGCAGAACCGAAATCGGCCTATAGTTACTGATGTCTTCTCCATTCCCACCCTTGTACACAGGTGTAATAATTGATCTCTTATGCCTTTATCAAAACTTAAATTAACTATGTGAGTGATAATAGGGGCCACATCATCAACTGCCAATTTCAAAAACTGGTTTGGGATATTATCCCAACCTGGGGCGCTATTTGATTTTAAGTTAATCATAATATTCTTAACTTCATCCTCATCCGTATGAAGCAAAATAAAAGAGTTTGATGGCGCTGGTTTGCTTCCTAAAAGAGTTCTCCGTGTATTTTTCTTGTGTTGAATTTTGTTTGCAAGTTGTGTTCCTATGTTCACGAAATATTTATTAATAAAGTTAGCAGAGTTATTAGGCGAAGACTTTAAGTTGACTAGTTTAGAGTTAAAATTATGTGATTTTTTAGAATATGTGATGTTTTTAATATTTTTCCATAGTAGTTTATTGTTATTTAGAGATTTAACAATATTGTCTCTATCATATTTTCTTTTAAATCTTTTTATTAAGTTATTGCAGTAATTCCTGTATCGTCGATATGTAATACGAAGAATCTCGTTGTGCGGGTCATTTCGAAGATTTTTTTGGAGTTTATTTCGGTTCCTTATACAACGTAAGATTCTTGCGGAGATCCACGGCTGCATAATTCTCCTACTACACGACACAGGAGTCACCACAGTGTTCAATTTTAGACTTTCGATCATTTTATCTAGTAAAAAGTAGTTAGTCACAGCAGTTGGGTCATCACAGAACAATAAATCAGTTAAATTTTTATTCTGTAGATATTGTAATGCACTTTCAAAGTTAATGGTGGTTTTAGTTTTATTGACATTTGGTTGATTTTTTAATTTCGAAATTGATAGAAATATAGTAAAATGATCCGTAACAGTAGTATGCATAATAGCTATCGGTGCTTTGTATTTGATTTTGTTTACTTTTAGCATAAAATGATCTAGACAGTTTTGCAGTCTTGTAGGTAAACTATGTCCAGCTAATATGCCGTAGTTAGCAAGCATATCTAAGTACTGCGACCTATTTTTATGTTCGTGCGATGATTCCAATGTTTTTTTTAGAATGCCTATATTAATATCTCCTGTCACTATGATGTTACTATTCGAAGGGAGACCCTCAAGATGAGAGCTTAATGAGTTAATGAAGGTCTTACTTTTAGCAAACAAAAATATCAGCATCAGTTTTAGGCCAGGTTTAACTTTAGTCAACGTTAATAAGGTTAAGCAGGTTTAAGAATGTGGGCTAAAACAGCTGTGTATATTATTTGAGAGTAAATTTTTATTATGCAACGCTTAATTTATTATTTACCATATTGGCAGGCAAGACCAGATGCTCCTATGGCAGCCATTAATTTGCAACAGTAATGCGATTATAATGATGATCGACATTAGACCCACATCGATTCGTTCTACTCATCGTCCCCTTCTCAGGGGATCGAACTATGATCGCTGCCGATGAAGCCTTTGAAGCTCTTGTTGCCAGAGGCATTCCCTACGGTAAATATTTTACCGTGCTATTTACAAACAAGAATTCGACATTACTTCTGCTTAAGTAATGACTTTAACATTTTTCATTTCATACTTAAGAAATTGATCAAGTAAGGACTGTCCAAAGTGAGAACTGACGTAACCCTACATCCAGCTGTAGGGTTTCCGTGAGGACAAATGGACATGACGAAACCATAAGGGTTCCTTGTTAGGGCTATGGACCCTAAAAATTTTATCCTTTATTAACGCAGTTGTTCCCAAAATGATAATGTATTAAAACATAACATTTCAAACTGAAATCTTAAAAGTTTACTGTTTACTCGTATACAGAATTTTAAAAGCCAAACATTTAGCAATAGATTTTGAGGCAGATGTGTCCTGTCATTGTTACAATATTGAAACAATACTATGATTATTTGCCTATTCGTTATGTTAACAAAATGTGTACACTTTACCTACTTATTAATAGAAAAACCGGGGCAGATATTCCAGTTTGGATTATAGTTACCCAATCACGCGTTAATTTATCGATACCTTTGTGTAGAAAGGTCATATAAACCATTTTGGTCAAATTGATTTATATATACCATTTTTTCAGATTTTTTTCTCTATCGAGCTGTATATACGAAATGCAGAAATAGCACAAAAATGGTTAATACGACCCAGAAATTTTCGGTCATAGCCTCTTTAAAAAGGTAAATTTTCAATGTAAAAGCCGATTTTTTTTGTAGTTTTGTTGTGATGTAATAACCATAATTTATATTAACTCAGGGCGTAAAAATAGTCGTTAATTGTAAATGGGTTTTACGCCCTAACGTGGTAAATACATTACCTAAACATAGTTCAAATTCGACGTCGTAAATCCAAAGGCAGTTCGCGACGTTGGTGTATAAACCACGTTCATTGCAAAAAGCACTTTACTACCAACACACAAGGCTCGCATTTGGCGCGTAGCGACAAGCAGAAGAGCGAGCGGGCTAGACAGATACCGGCGCATTTGTTTACTTGGATGCGAGTTCGCGCACTGAGCGTTTCGTCACAAGTTTCGTTTACATGTTTTAATGTTTTTACAACAAATGAATAATTTAGTGATTTTTGTGTAATATACTTTTTCATTTGCAAATTGTAAGAACCTTTCTTTTAGATCATTTTTTTATAACTTCAAAAACAAAAAAGTTATGAATTTTTATGTAAAAAAAATAGTTTTTCTGCTCTTCTGAAAAGTCGGGTTTTGGTTTATACGACCTTTCAACCCAAAGGTATCGTTATGATAATTTATTGTAATATAGATGAGAGAGAAAGAGCGTGAGATTTATAATCAAATTAATTCGATACTCATAGGTATTTTGCAATCTCACTTATATCTCATGTAATAGGATTTCTGACAAATGTCAAAAATCTAATACCGGCTGCTTCAACAGACATCGCGACATTTTGCCGTGTAATGGCGTTATGCATATTAAAGCAATATCTAAAATGGCAGCTACTGAAATCGGAAGTGAGATATAATTTTACAGAAAGCTCTACAGATTAAACCTTATGATAGTCCCTGACTCTAACGGTATAAGAGAAGGCGAAGTAAATGTGTACATCAATGGCAAAATAAGAAATCCTGTTTGCGGTATAATTTTATTCAAAGAAGCCGCGTTCAAAGCTTTAATGTATCAAGTACTTATCACAGCTACAAACAATAAATCGTTTGCCCATGTCACAGAACTAAATCATGATTTATTTCTATGGTCTCACTATTTTGGGATGTAGGCTAATCTAACTTACCGTTGTATGAGGGCAGTTGTCGCACCGTTACACCGTGAAGGCAAATACTGTATCATTCTGTCATGGTATAATTTATGTAAACCCATCAAAACTATATAAAAGGTGGTCTACTTTAATTTTTAGAGTATTCAAACACTGCACTAAGTACCTGTCAGGCTGCGATACTGTATCGTAACTAGTTTAATTATAAGTATACAAATAAAAAATGATTCTAATACTTTTGGTATTATGTTGGTCTGTATATGATGTTAGTGGAAAACATTTTGAAAGTGCCAGTAATTACCTTGCAGAAGATGGCAGATTGAATTTCACCGAACTCGTGACGAAGTATGGACAAAGAAAAACTGAAGAATTTGACGTTATCACTGAAGATAGCTACATTTTGAAACTTTTCCATATTGAGGGTGACAAAAGGAGGCCTATACTCATGGCTCATGGTCTCATCGACTCCCCAAATTCTTTTATCGCACGAGGTAACAAATCGCTAGCTCTTGCGCTCGCTGAGAAAGGGTACGACTGTTGGTTCATGAGTGTAAGAGGCAAAAAATATAGCAGAAAACATTTACATTTAAACCCGGACAAAGATGCGGCGTACTGGGATTTCAGTTTTCATGAAATCGGTATGTATGATCTGTCTGCTACCATTGATTTTGTATTGAAGAAAACAAACCAAACTCAACTGACACTCATCGGGTTCTCTCAAGGAAATCAAATATGGTTTGTGTTGGGTTCGTTGAGGCCAGAGTACAACGCCAAAGTAAAAGCTGTAATCGCATTAGCTCCAGTAGCATACATGAACAATACTTCGATTCCTGGAAAATCTTTGTGGCCTCCATTTAATGTATTTCTTAAAAAAACCGGCCAAGAGGAATTGTTCGGAGAAAATTCAATAGCAACATTTGTGGCGCGCGCTGTTTGCTCTCGTGTACCGGCTGGTGCTGAATTTTGTTTAAATACGTTTATTTTTCCACTATCTGGTATCGATCTCGATCAGTTGGAACTTGAATTTATGACAGTTTTTATTGGACATTGCCCATCAAGCACATCCAGAAGAGTTTTGGACCACATGATACAAGTTACCAATGAAAAGACATTCCAGCAATACAATCATGGGCCTATAGTAAATTTTAAAAAGTACGGTTCTTTTATACCTCCCAAATATCCATTGGAGAAAATTACAGCCAAAATAGAACTCCTTGTTGGACGGAATGATGTTTCGGCAACTGCTGACGATGTCAAGTTTTTGAACACGCTACTCCGTAATTCTACATACCACGAGATAGACTTTAATCAATGGAGTCATCTCGATTTTGTTTTCGGAAGGCAAATGGATGTATATCTGTTTCCCCTGCTGTTAGACTTATTGAAGAAATACAATTGAAGCGAAACTTAATAGTCATAGTATTAAATTAGAATAATGCACTTAATTATTTTCATACGTTTTTTAATAAAGAATCAAATAATTTCTCTTTGAACCATTTATTTTATTTAAGTGTTATGTTTAGTAATCCAAGTCAAGAAAGTCACCAACTTCAACGTTTATTCTTTAGGTTTTAAGTTCTTTATAAGACATTTCATTGACAATACTTACGTGGTTATAATCATAGGAGCAAAATATTTTCTTCATAATCGTACTTTCTTTCAAAGCTTCTATTGTTAAACAATTGTTGAAATACAGGCAGCTTTATAATTAGCGCTCCAGATAAAAGGGATCTTGACAGATAAACGGACTGACAGGCAGACAGATGCACATGGAAGTGATCATGTTTTTTTTTCTTTTGAGTTGGGTGCAGGACCGTACGTAGTGATTTCATCCAGATTTTTAGTTCGACTTTTCAAGCCTGGCTCGTACTTAGTTGTTTTTTTTGTACTTACTGTTTTTATTACAAAATATTTAAATTACATCTTAACGTATTATAATATGCATTTATCATTAAAGTTAATGTACGTGTCGCAGGATAATTTGATAAATCTTCCTAGGGATTATGCGAAAACGCGAATAAATCAAACAATGGCAATTAATTTCTCAATATTAATGAAAAAAAAATAATGAATGGATTTTTGCAAGAACGCGATTTGTTTCGGTAAAAATAAATAAATATTTCCAACACTTAACCAATTAGTCTAGCCCCAAAGTAAGCACTGCACGGTTTGTGTTATGGGATACTAGGGTAACGGATAGAATACATATATTGTACAATTATTACTTTACTTTGGACGTATTTTCTTCTTAAGAATATTGTCGACCATACTTAAAGAAAACGTTCTAAAATTAAATCTCGTTTTGAAACTCTACTTCTAACACTAGATTTCTCACTGAGAAATGTTCTATAAGGGCCTAAGTATCCGATTTTTCGAAAAATCTCTAGGGAAAATGTCACGAAAATTCAATTTTTCAAATCACCCTACGTTAGATGCGGAAATGATGCGTTTTTTATGCAGCCGCCGTATCATTACAATATATCAAGTGAACGCCTTTTCCGTATATTTGTGGTGACAGTCGTTAATGTAATTGTGCTATTTGAACTACATGTAACGTGGTCCCATTAAGGGAAATGGGTCTGAATGTCCCGTTAAGGCCGTACCCAAAATGGCCCATTTATTGTGATGCTCGTAAATAAGAGCTTTTTTGTCCTATTGACTCCTTTAGCTTTTTGATCTTTATAATTTCCGGTATACTTTATCTGTGGGTTTATTAAGTAGTTTGGTTTAGCAAAGAGTATAATAGTGAAAATAAAGGTTATATTCTAGTAACATTGGACAACTGGTTGGTGGAACATAAACAACCTGCCGTTTACGCCAAAAATTGGGTTCCAATCCAACCCAGGTACAGTTTATTCAATTGTATGATGTGATGTGAAGTAACGTCCCGCCTTGCAGACCATCACTTCTGTATTTGTAGCGTTGTATTTCAAACCGTGAGCATTAGCAAAATGTTCACAGGTCGAAAGAAGCTTACGGAGGCCTTTGATTGAGGGGCTGATGAGCACCATATCATCAGCGTAGCTTATGCTATTAACGCATACATCACCAATATGATAACCGATACCAGCGTTCCTCAGCTCCCCAATCAGGTCATTGATATATAAATTGAAGAAGTCCGGAGAAGTCAACCCTCCTTGGCGTACCCCGCACTCTAGCTTATAGCTATTAGAAGTCGCGTCGCCCCATCTCACACTGTTAGTTTGATAACCATACCAGTACTCAAACAGTGCCACAACTTCTCTATGAATATCAGTGTCATGCAATTTTTTCCAGAGAGCTTCAAAGTTCACAAGATCAAATGCGCGACTCGGATCGAGAAAACATGCATATACCGACGTTTTGTGACGTCTGTAGTAATCAACAGCATGTTTTACAGTAAATATAGCGGAGTCTGTAGAGAGAACGGTACGGAAACCAAACTGTGCATCGTCAATCTGAATGTTACGCGAAACCTCGGGCTGTACAAGTCGTTCGAGAACCTTACCCATTACGGTCTCCAAGGATATTGGGCGGCAATTATTGGACGTACTCGCATCACCCGTTCTATTTTTAATGATAGGAACTCAGTACGTATGTCTAGCCCAGGCTATTCTCGTTTATTACTTACAACATGTTTTATATGCTTAGGCGATAATCCTACTGTTCGTAGAGCAAACACTAAATCCTAGAATATAACTGATAATCGTATGACGTAAACAAGATAATTTATTTGATGTCATAGACGCCATTTATGTATATCTTACGTAAGACTATTGTTGAGTTTCCTCTACACCTTTCGAGATGATGTTGTTAAATGATAGTTTGGTAATAAGTTGATAATACAGACTATGTTGGAACTATTATGTTTATTTGAAAACGAGGTACATATGACGTCCGAACGTGAACTGATTTGCTGTTTAGTCACACTAAATATAAATAACACTGTTTGTATTTATAATGTATGACAGAGCAATCAAAATGCAGGTAAACAATTAATGTATATTTAATCATTATGTAATGAAAGGTGACTGTATGAATCATCTCTGAAGTAATTTTTGAGTTTGACGACTCTGTAAACAATAAAAAAGAAGAAAAACCCAGTCCATGCTGAGTTTCTTACCGGTTCTTCTCAGTACAAGGTCTCCCGCCGTAGATTTACGAACCGTTGGCGTAGCTTCTAGACATTCATGAGTGCTTGTAGCAGCCTAAACTGAATAAATGATTTTGATTATGATTATGATTATGATTATTATGACGTTAATAAAATTATATATTTACTTAATAATAATAAAAAATATAAATTGCCACGTAATGAAATGTATTGTTTGGACTAAACATCTTCCCGGAGGGCAAAAGAAAAGAAAAAATAAGATATAAAAGCTACACAAAATCATAAGTAAATGATATATCTAAAAAAATCTATAATAAATAAATTAAGTATCTTCATTTAATTGGGAGAATATCTTGCGCGGGGCCACCGGTGATAAAGTTTTGTTCCGGGTACTTTTTTTTTGTTTCCTCCCAGTTGGGGGAGCGGGTATGAAATCCTCAAGGATACCTGTAGGGTATCCTTGAGGATTAGGATTAGTTGTTGTAAATATGTACATTTCTTCGCTTTTAATCGCACAACCTTGCTCTAATGCGATGTCGCCGACCCCGCTCAGCTGTTGTGCGGTAATTTGATCATTGCATAGTCTCACAGTGCATACATCGCAACATAAATATTAATAATGGTTTATTTATAACATTTAATACGACGAACATGTTTTTGCATTCAGCGGTGCTTGTTTGCCATTGATTGTGTTTATAATTCAAACACAAGTCTCTTTCTGACTTTATTTGGACTGGCAAAGTTGCGTAGATATTTCATAGTATATACAGTTGTATAAGTCATCAGCTATCATAGCTATGTACGTGTATGTATCTTTACTTAGGTTTATAGCAATGTATTCTGCAATGGGAATTATCTTAATCGTTGCATTATTAACCTTTTTTGGTATTGGAATTATTCTGTACATTTCGTATGGATCTCGACTGACCAAAGGTATTTTCAATTTGAAAATCATATAATTTTCCGTGAGCCTTGTTTTTACTTGTAGAAATTTTTATATATATTTGATATCTGCTTGCAAATTTGATATAGGTAAGGTCAAATCTTTCGACGATTGTCCAGAAATAATGCTGAGTTCGTTTTTCAAATTATTGTGCCGGGCTTATGAAATGTATATTGAACTTTCCTTGATTATAGTATCCGTTATGGTCTCTTTATCAACATATCTTGAATGACATTGAAATCGAATAAAAGGTTATTTGTTAACATAGCTGATGATGTAAAATCGTTGACGCTGGCAATCTCCTGTATCTTCTGACTTAATTCACGAACTTTGTTATTTTGTATATTTAAATGTTAGTAAATTAATTTATGTTATTTTTTCATAACATCTTCCACTCATTTAATCATATTGTACTCAACCTCGATTATCGAAGTTTGATTTATATTTATATTCATTGATTTATATATATTTATACAACGTATAATTATAACTGCGTATTTTTATGATTTTTTGTGATTTTACGTAAGAACTATCGAGACTCCCACCCAGCTAGGGTTACCATCCGTCTGGACTTTTTGTCTTTTGTCCGGACTTTGCCCAGCTTTTTAATTCGTTCGGATTTTTTAATTGGATTAAATATGAGTAATACTACTTATTAAGTTATATCGAATCAAGTCAAATAATCTTTATTATTTTCTCATTAATTTTAAAATATAAATCATATTTAAAAATCAACAACGAGACCCCCCTCGCGATGCGAGAGTCTGCAACCACGCGTATAATATCACTGTAACTGAGTGATGTTTGCATTTTATGACTAAAATGTCCGGCTTTTCATCAGGACCTTTCAATTTTTTAAATAGTAACCCAACTCCCACCCTCTTGTATGAAAAAATAAGACATGGTCGACCCCCCTCCCCCCTAAATCGTCTTACGTAATAAATGAATGAATATGAAATTCTAACGTGGATGGTGGCGTAAGCATTGCACAAATAAAAGTGACCCGATTCTGTTTATCAGACTAAACAATGCGTTAGGTTTTGTCACAGATCTAAATTGAATTAGACGTCACATATACTTCAAATTGTATGGAAATACAGCGTGTAAGATTTTGAGTACTCATGAGAACAAATCACCATCATCACCATCAGTCTATTAATGTCCCCCTGCTGAGGCATAGGCCTTTCCTATAGATAGAATAGGGAGATTGGGCCATGACTCACCATGCGGGCCCGGTTTGGATTGGCGGGTGCAACGATTGCAGATGCAGCCGAAACCAACGGCTTAAACGTGCCTTCCGACGCACGGAGGAACTCGAGATAGAAGTATTTTGGTCACCCATCCAATGACCAACCACTGCGAAAGTTGCTTATTTTCAACGATCGCAGCCATCTATTAAGTAAGTCTATATAACAATATTTCGACATGAGTTAAGAGATTATAGAGACACGACAAAATGTATAATCGAGACATCTTAAATAAAAAAAACTGACCAATTATGCTACCACGGCCCTGATGGCCGCGTCGAAATTTTCCTAGCCTTAAGCC